TGACAGCCCTCGAATATTTTCGAGATTCGAGAGTGGTGTGGCGAGGCCCTCTGCGTCTCCAATCCGCTTGGATGGACCGACGCACCAGGAGGGAGACAGTACTTSTGATCCGCTTATTTGTCMATTCGTTTYCGTTGARCAGGCGATCATTGCGGCATTGCCAGATGACAGAGAAAATAATGGCACGAAGAACSTGGGCCAYATACCCCCAACCTGACTGTTTGTTGCAATTCTKTGGAWTGTCCACTAATAACGTCCATTCTTTGTTCCACAGAAAGGCCARSCCTGAGATGCGATTCYAGTGKGCAATGAACCATTCCCAAAATTTTYCGGAGGCARSACAGTCCCACCRCAAATGAACAGKASATTCGAAGGCCCAGTTACGTCTGCTGCATTTGAGATCCAYTGGTACACCTTTTTGYGCTAGCCAAATTGCTGACGGAGTAGCCACCATAGAGACCAACCAGAGTATGGACGCTTGTCTTTGGGCCTCGCCGCACCACTATCGAAAATGCAATTTTCGGACAGTTTCTCTTCGCCACACAGGCTGTCGAAGTCGGAGACGGGAAAAAATTCGTCTGTTGTTAGAGCATGCTTCTGGACAGCTCCTGTCGAAAGTTGTTGAATCCCCAGCCTGCTACTCTAAGTGCCTCGCCACACCACTCTCAAATCGCGAAAATTTGTGAGTCGGGCACCGCCACACAGCATCGCTCGAAAAAAAACTCGAAACTGTTCGAGAGTTGTCAGAAAGGCGTTTTCGAGTGCCCTCTCGAAACGAAGTTTTCGCCCAGCCTGCAGCGTCGGAGTTTTCGTGATACCGCCCCTCCGCTCTCGAGTTCGACGTCCATTTCGAGAGTTGTCAGGCCGTTTTTCATGATGCCACCCGTCCACGCTCGAGTTCGTCCATTTCGAGAGGCTGGTCTAGTGTGCTATGTGGCAAAGGGCCATTTCCTCTCGAAAACCGGCCTCTCGAAAAATCCTGACAGCTCTCGAATACTTTTGAGATTCGAGAGTGGTGTGGCGGGGCCCAAATGCTTTCGACACTCCTCGGGTGCACCATGGACTTCTCTTCGAAATTCGGTGAGGGGGGGTAAGGTCGGGATGGACTAATGCTTGTCGTATCCTCTGGCTCGTTTGTCTTTTTCCATCTTGCATTCGCAAGTGCGTGCACTCTACAGTGCTGTGTGGCTAATGGGGGGCAAACTGTCCAATGGAGGCTGTCAAATTTGTTTTGACAGCCATCAAATCTTTTCGCCTTTCGACTGTGGTGCAGCGAGGCCCTTTGACATGGAATGAGCTTGAGCTGCTCCCAGCAGGAGCATAACGCCGAGTCGTA